ATTCATGTGCAATGGAAATTAATTCCTCATTTATTTTCATAGTTAACTTAAAGCAAGATGCGCTTGTGTTTCTGGACGTGTATAATTTAGTTGCACGTCCGCCCTGCGTAATGAATCCTGGGTAGATGTATTAGCGATTTAGGTGGCAATAATTCCTAGCCCAGTGCGCCAAATGTATCTTCCAGAGTCCCTTATAATGATATATAATAAAAAAAATATTTACAATATATTTATTAATTTTATATAACTTTATTATTATATATATATATAGTATTTAATGAACATATGTTTCACATGGAAAAAACTGAGCAGAATACTACAGTTCTCCGCCACCAGTAATACTATCCATCCATTACTACTACTACCAGCACCACTACCACCAGTTCTAAAACTCCACCATTATCATCACCACCACCCTCATCACCATTATCACTGCCACCACACCATTACCACCACCTACACAACCACCTCCCTGAGCATTAACAACTCCCACCTTCCCATCAGCACCCACCTACTTGTCAACATTTACACAAGTGTAATTCATGGAGGGTGCTTGAGTGAAGAGATCTTCCATTGTCATCTCCATTATTGTTAGTAGCACAGGTGATATAGAATCTAGACTGCCCATCCAAGACCTGTCTGTTTCAATAAGAGAATCAAACTGTGTATTCCCTGAGGCCTAGCAACAAGCTGAAGTCAAACTGTACTCATACTGCAAAACAAAGGTATGTATAAAATTAAGATTACAATTAGGCCTCACGTGAAGCATGACTGCTGCGTTATGTTGCTGAGGCAGTATTAGTATTGTGACACTGGTGCTGTCATGCAACACTAGTACTACCATGCAACACTGGTGCTGCTATGCAACACTGGTGCTATGCAGCAACACTGGTGCTACCATGCAACCCTCGTGCGGTCAAGCAACACTGGTGCTATGCAGCAACACTGGTGCTACCATGCAACAATAGTGCTACCATGCAACCCTCGTGCGGTCAAGCAACACTGGTGCTATCCCGTAACACTTGACATTTAAAAATATTGGTTTAAAACATCCATCCACAACAAACACCACCACTACTACTTTCACCCACTGCTAACAAGCACTACTACTACCACCACCAACTACTACTACTACTACTACCACCACCCCACCACTACTATTAATATACCACCCACTACTACCACCATTACTACCACCACCCACTGCTATTACTACCATCACCCAATACTGTTACCTACACCACCCACTACTATCACTACCACCACCAACACCTACCTCTTCCACCATCCACTATTCTTCCCACTACCTCCTCACACCTTCACATTCACCAAAACAATTTCAACGCAGTGGACAGTCAACGCAAAAATTAATTAGCGCATAAATGCAACAAAAAATGTTTAAAGGACACGGGTTGCTGGGGCAGCCGGAGGAGCTTCACCCTTATGTCCCTCTTACCGAGGGAGCATCAGTGTCACCAAGTCTTGTGGCTGGTGAGGGTAAAACTGGTTCCTAACTGGCCTTGTTGGTGCTCTTGATTTAATCTGTTAAATGCACACTCCTCCGAGACCCAATTTTCGTTTTTTTTGAGTTTTTTTTTTTTTGTTTAAAGATGAGTATGGAAGCAAAACAGAGGATGAATAAAGTGAGGGTAGCTTTGTGTGTAGTCACCTATTTGTACTCACCTGTTTGTGGTTGCAGGGGTCGATTCACAGCTCCTGGCCCCGCCTCTTCACTGGTCACTACTAGGTCCTCTCTCTCCCTGCTCCATGAGCTTTATCATACCTCTTCTTAAACCGATGGATGGATCCTGCCTCCACTACATCATTCTCCAGATTGTTTCTCATCCTGACAACTCTATGACTGAAGAAATACTTCCTAACATCCCTGTGGCTCATCTAAGTCTTCAACTTTCAGTTGTGACCACTTGTTGCTGTGTCCCATCTCTGGAATATCCTGTCCCTATTCAACTTGTCAATTCCTTTCAGTATTTTATATGTCGTTATCATGTCTCCTCTATCCATCTTGTTCTCCAGTGTCGTCAGGTCGATTTTCCTTAACCTCTCCTCGTAGGACATTTCCCTTAGCTGCGGGACTAGTCTTGTTGCAGACCTTTGCACTTTCTCTAATTTCTTGACGTGCTTGACCAGGTGTGGGTTCCATGCTGGCGCTGCATACTCCAATATGGGTCTGACGTACACGGTGTGCAGAGTCTAGAATGACTTCTTACTAAGGTGTCGAAACGCTATTCTTAGATTTGCCAGGCTCCCATATGCTGCAGTAGTTATTTGGTTGATGTGCGCCTCAGGAGATGTGCTCAGTATTATACTCACCCCAAGATCCTTTTCCTTGAGTTAAATCTGTAGTCTTTGCCCTCCTAGCCTGGACTCTGCAGTCTTCTTTGACCTTCCCCACTCTTCATGATTTGCACTTGGTGGGGTTAATCTCCAGGATCCAGTTGTTGACCCAGGCTTGCATCCTGTCCAGATCCTTTTGTAGTCCTACCTGATCCTCATCCGATTTAATTCTTCGCATTAGCTTCAAGTCGTCTGCAAACAGGGACACCTCTGAATCTATCTTTTCCGTCATGTTATTCACATATACCAGAAATAGCACCGGCTCTAGGACTGACTCTTGTGGAACCCCGCTCGTCACAGGTGCCCATTCGGGCACCTCGTCTAGTACCATGACTCGTTTCCTTCCTGTCAAGAATTCTCTGATCCACTGTAGTACCTTTCCTGTTATTCCTGCCTGTTCGTCTAGCCTTTGCACTAATCTTTTGTGTGGAACTGTGTCGAACGGCTTCTTACAGTGAAAGAAAATGCAGTCTACCTCTCTCTCTCTCTCTCTCTCTTGTCTTACTTCTGTGACCTTGTCGTAAAACTCCAGTAGGTGTGTGTGTGTGTGTGTGTGTGTGTGTGTGTGTGTGTGTGTGTGTATGTGAACGGTTGTTCGGGTGTGGGTGTTTGGCGGGCATGAGTGGAAAGTTGTGTGAGGGAGAGGGGGTGTACACGCCTATTTGTGGTTACAGGGGTATAGTCTCAGCTCATGGCCACCAGCCTCACCGCAGGCCGCTAATGGGTTCTCTTTTTTCTATCTGCGTAAACCCTATTTTATCTTATCCCACCTATTCTTAAAACTGAATGGATCCTGCCTAAATCACTTTACTGTCTAGGACTCTAGGTCGTTTAACTTAGTGACCTTTCTCAGGCTGAAGAAATATTTCCTAGCATCCCTCTGTCTCGTCTATGTGTTTAACTTTATCTGTAACCTGGTGTTCCTGTTTCTCTTCTCTTGATCACTGTCCCTGTTCATTCTATTAATTCCTCTCAGTATTTTGTACGTCGTTATCATGTCACCCCTAGTCCTTCTGTCCTCTCAGGGTGGGTGTGTGGGGGCGGGTGTATGTGGCTGGATTATGGTTTGTGAATACTTATTTAAATAATAATCGTTAATAATTAATAGTATGTGCAGCATATGTCGTTTTCTATTATCTAGAGAAAACAAGAAGAGCCATGAAGTGCCATGGTCAACTCGGGAATTCGGATTAACCAGGAAGGTTATTGTCTTGGCTAAATTTTTAGTCAGATTCAATAAACAGGTATATATATTGCACAATTGTCTTACATAGCAATCCATTTCAAAGATATTAAACAGTGTATATACACTGAGATATATATTTCTTGATGTATATATATTTAAGTGCAATAAGATCAGAGTAAACAGGTGATCTCGCAATATGCAAAATAACCATAGCGAAAAAATAATGAAATTCCAAGTTCTTTCGTGATTTCTCACATTATCAAAGAATACAGCTTGGAATTTCACTATTTTATCACTGGTAATTTTGCATATATCTAAACCTGATCTTGTTATGGAAGGTGTATTAGCTCAGTTGCTCATTCATATGTCAGATAATGTATAGAGGTCTTATGTGGATAGTGACGCTCATGTTAGTGTATGTACGTATACATGTAGGAATACATGGGGGGGGGGTGTAAAAAAATCTACCCCTGCCGTGTTTGTCTTACCTTCATTCTGTCCTACTGATTGTCTTATTTTGCCGACTTAGTTTTACGACTAGGTGCTACAGGCCTGTAATCTACCACCTGTAGTCGTAATACCGACACTGAAGACTGGAGGTAGTGGAGATATCACGTCTGAGGGCAATGATTGGTTCAAATATTAAGCAGAAAATTAGGAGCGTTGGCATTAAAGAGCGATGTGGAGTTACCAAAAGTATAATTCAGAGGGCTGAAGAGTTGTTGTTAGGGATTTAGAGAGGCTGGAGCAGCATATGATGTCAAATATGATATATAAATCCGAGGTGGAGGAAATGTGGGACAAGGGTCTTTCTAGAAAAGGATGGACGGGGGTAAAGGAGTGTTTGAGTGCTAGGGGATTGGAGATCTAATAAGCTTGTGTGAGAGCGTAAGATTTGAGTATATGGAAACAGGTGTTTTTATGACGACGTGCAGTTGATACGTTTTTGTGAATGTACATGATTTTTTTTGCACAAAAACTTAATTATCTAACTCATCCAACCTTGTTAAAATTAATATATTATATCCCAATTGTAACCACACCTATTTTACGTTTGCTTAAAATAATTTTTTATTTTTAACATCGACAAATATTCACCAAAAACCCGCATTTGAAAGAGGAACCTCAAGACTTTTCGATCCGTCCCGAAGCATTATCAAGTCACAGGTGTGACAAGACTGTGAACTAGGACGAACCGAAGCGTCGTCATAAGGTTCGTCTGTTAAATGTGAGTTGTTCGGTGAATTGTAAAGATTTTATCCTTTATCGACACATGTTAATTTTCATGACTAGAAGATTATCCCAAAAGCAAGTGATATTAATTATTCTGGAAAACCACTGTAAAAGAAAGTCATAAGGTTTTCCAGATGTCCAGAATGATTTCGTTGGAAGGTTAACAACTGTGAATATACACACTTTCTAGCAGAAGGTTCATTGCTTTGTATGCTAAATCTTCAAGCTAGACTTGAAACGAACGACACAGTCATATAATGAGGTCATTAGTGCAGAAAGTCACACACATGAAGTCTTATGCAGAATTCCTGCGACTAATTTGCGAGCTCCTTTGGCAGCGGTGCGACGTAGTTTGCGTAAGGATACGAAGGTTATTAAATTTGAAACTTCAGCTCGACTCTCCTTGATTGAGGCTCTTGACAATCATCTCCACTTGTTAAGGAGTCATATTCCACTTACAGGGATCAATTTTTTTTTTTTTTACAAACTGCTGTTTACTCTTTGTTTTAAATTTCTCTTATTTCTTCCCGTTTTGCTGTAATTTTACAATTTATTTTGCTCTTGTTTTGAACTATCCTTTTGTTTTGGGTTTAAAATATTTTGTATAGAAATTTTGTGCGCGCACGCATGCGTACTTATTTGCTTGTTTATGGTTGTAGGGGTTGAATTTTGGTTCTTGGCATTGTCGTGTGTAATAATCTCTTTGTACTTGTTACTACGGAAGCAGAGTTCTGCTCCTGGTGCCCCGTCTTCAATTATTGTACCCTAAAGTCGCTTACTAGTGACTTAATTCACGGCTGAGATTGACATGGCCCAAGACTGAGGCTGAGAACGACCAAGGGTGAGTGAGAGTGAGGGAGAGTGAGAGGGAGACGAAGGGTGAGTGAGGAAGAGGGAGAGTAAATGCTTGCAAGAGTCTTGTATGAATTTTGTCCAAAGCCAAATTATTTTCTGACAAGCCAAGACGCCATAGAACGAAAACCGTAAACACATAGTGATAAGTAATGGTCACGGAACACCAGGTAGGCAAGAGAGAGAGACTGTGATAATACCGTGACAAAACCATGACAAATCGTCGTCATGGAACACTGTCACTAGTCCCGCGTCACCGTACAGTCCGCCAGGAAGGGATTAACAACCCTACACTTTCCCCTTACCTTTCACTATCACCATGAGGTACTCTGCCGTATATGTATACTCACCTATTTATGGTTGCAGGGGTCGATTCATAGCTCCTGGCCCCGCCTCTTCACTGAGTCCTACTAGGTCCTCTCTCTCCCTGCTCCATGAGCTTTATCAAACCTCGTCTTAAAACTATGTATGGTTCCCGCCTCCACTACGTCACTTTCTAGGCTATTCCACTGCCTGACAACTCTACGACTGAAGAAATACTTCCTAACATCCCTTTGCCTCATCTGAGTCTTCAATTTCCAATTGTGATCCCTTATTTCTGTGTCCCATCTCTGGAACATCCTGTCTTTGTCCACCTTGTCTATTCCGCGCAGTATTTTATGTGTCGATATCATGTTTCCCCTGACCCTCCTGCCTTCTAGTGTCGTCAGGCCAATTTCCCTTAACCTTTCATGGTAGGGCAATCCCCTTAGCTCCGGGACTAGTCTTGTTGCAAATCTTTGCACTTTCTCTAATTTCTTAACGTGTACTCGCCTAATTGTGGTTGCAGGGGTCGATACTCAGCTCCTGGCCCAGTCTCTTCACCGAGTGCTACTAGGTCCGCTCTCTCTCTCTCCTCCCTGTGTGTACTCACCTAATTGTGGTTGCAGGGGTCGAGACTCAGCTACTGGCCCCGCCTCTTCACCGACCGCTACTAGGTCCTCTCTCCCCCTGCTCCATGAGCTTTATCATACTTCGTCTTAAAACTATGTATAGTTCCTGCCTCCACTACATCACTTGCCAGACTATTCCACTTCCTAACTGCTCTATGACTGAAGAAATACTTCCTAACATCCGTTTGACTCATCTGAGTCTTCAGCTTCCAATTGTGGCCCCGTGTTTCTGTGTCCCATCTCTGGAGCATCCTGTCACTGTCCACCTTGTCTATTCCACGCAGTATTTGGTATGTCGTTATCATGTCTCCCCTGACCCTCCTGTCCTCCAGTGTTGTCAGACCGATTTCCCTTAAGCTTTCTTCATAGGACATTCCCCTTAGCTCTGGAACTAGCCTTGTTGCAAACCTTTGCACTTTCTCCAATTTCTTGACGTGTTTGACCAGGTGTGGGTTCCAAACTGGTGCTGCGTACTCCAGTATGGGCCTGACGTACACAGAGTGTGTGTGTGTGTGTGTGTGTGTGTGTGTGTGTGTGTGTGTGTGTGTGTGTGTGTACTCACCTAGTTGTACTCACCTAGTTGAGGTTGCAGCTCCTGGCCCCGCCTCTTCACTGGTCGCTACTAGGTCACTCTCCTTGTGTGTGTGTGTGTGTGTGTGGGTGGGTGGGTACTCATCTAGTTGTGGTTGCAGGGGTTAATTTACAGCTCCTGGTCCCGCCAGGAGGTGTGTGTGTGTGTGCACTCTATTGTTGTTAGCAGCCTCAGCACTTGTCCCTCTCCTTGAAAACACGCGGCCTGTTTCATTATTTCATCTTGTCCCTGTCGTACCTGTTCTTTATCAATATCCCTGACTATCTTCATGTGAATGTAAGCTGGACTGTTCTGTTTCTGCGCTTCAGAGGAGAGGTTTAAGCAATGGCTATGTCTGGTGTATTTCTTGTAATCGTTTCCGTGAGTTATTTGCCCCTTATGGTACTCCATCTTCGTTTTCCTTTCCCGGTCCCACAGTTTCATAACTGGGTTTATGCTCTGTTAAATTGTATATAGTAACTGCATATTTGTAGAGACGGGCAGCATTATTATCATGGCGTCTCGTCTTTAATATTTTTATTTGAATTATATATATTTTTTTAAATTAACAGTTGTCGACAGCACTGTCTGCTCTTGGATTTCATTCCAAGTGTCTGCTAAATATACCCATCATGCACCCACCAACCACCACTATCCATCCCTCTCATACCCACCAAACACTATTATCCATTCATCATGCACCCACCAAACACCACTATCCCCCATCATATACTCGTATATTCGTGATGACAAGGCAGTCATTGCGTAAATCTATACACACGGTTGCATTCTCACTCTCTCTAACCCTCAATCTCTCTCACGACAGTGTGACTTTGAGGTTATATATATATGTACGAGTATATACATGGAAGCCTGGGCGGTAGTGTCAGTCGCACACTGTCTCTCCTTAATCTCCATCAGAGCCGCAACTGGCGGTAAGCCCTCCCACCTGCTTGCTCATCTGCCCACTTGCCATCTCTGTCAGACATCGAGTTAAATAATAATGACCAGGCTAAGGCTGCACGGAACAGGCTGTAACGAAGAAGACGCAGTTGAGAGGGGAAAGTGAGAGGTTGACCCCGCCGACTTGGTCCAGTTTATGGTGACAAGAGGAAACCATCCCTGGAAATCTACCCAAGGCCGCAGCTCTTAGCTCCTTGCCCTAAATACCCAGGTTCCAAGTCCCCAGATATCAGGCACTGAAGAAGGTACTAGGCACCTCTACCCGATCATCTTTTTTGAAAACAAGTGACATCGGCCCTAGGCAAATTCTGCTGTCAAGAACCACACTCACGACACGACAGCCTGAGGCAGTTTGCTGTGAGTGCTGGAACCTGTCTCGCAACGCGCTGCGTGTGCTAAAACTTGTCTCACAAAGCTCCTCGAGTGCTAGAACTTGTCTTACAAGGCGTTGGAAGTGCTGGAACGTGTTTCATAAGGCGATAAGAGTGCTGTAACTTGTTATGTAGGGTGCTGCGAGTACTAGGATTGGCCTTGCAAGACTCTGTGAGAGCCGCAGTGAGTACAGACCCTTCATGAGACTTTTTTGCTAGTGAGGCAAGTGAGACGAAACACTCAAGCTATTTTGTTTAGTGAGTGAACCAAGAGTAGTGTCATCGACCTAACATAGTTTAAGAGTACGGAAGAAGCCCATTCCCAGAAATCAACCCCAGATCATATATCATCATACAGATTGGTGACATTGCATTTACCTTGCTGGGTAATAAAGAGCCTGTTGTTAGAGAGTGAAAGGAAGGTGAACTCCCTTTTCTAAAAATATGAAATTACTTATAACTACTGAACAATGGGCTAAACCAAGCATGTGGAATAAATAAGTAAAATACCATAAGGACTACAAATGGATAGAAAGCTTTCCTCTTCTAAGATAAATTATTAGAATCTTAATCGTCGTGTTGACCTTCAAAGGTGGTATTGTATATTAGGAAGTTCTAGACCCGTGTGTGTCATTTAGCACGAGTGGTGAAGGCTCGAATCTCCTGTCCTCTAATTGTGGCCTGGTCTCTGACCAGCCAGGCTGTTGGTGCAGGTAATGGTGGTGGTAATGCTGGCAGTAATGGCTGTGGTGTCCGCACCAGTGTTGGCTGTGGTGCCACCCACGGCAGAGACCAGGGGCCGCGATGACCAATATTACCAGACCAGATGGTCTTCAAGGAACTCCCCGCACTCCAAGTTTCTGGCCACGACGGTCTCGAGAAGGCAAGAGGAGGAGAATCAACAGATTCCGGCACCTACTGAGGACTCTTCCGCTACCTACTGGCCCTCCTACGTCGCCTCCTTCACCGCCTCCTCCCATCTTCCTTTACCGGTCGGGGACACGCAAATCCTGCCTCCTGAATCCCTGACCAACGGTACCAGTGGTCGTGACGCCAGGTGTAAGTATCCTGTACTACAAGGAAAGATTAAAATCTTTGCCACCTCACCCGGTTCTCCAGCTGCCATTTATCCTGTACTGCTGCTGTGTGTGATTTGTTCCTTTATGCAAATATTTTAGTTGCTGTGTGCTTTCCTGAGTTGCCATACTTTTTTGTAACACATTTCTAAGTTATTGTTGACCGTGCTCACATGCTGTATTATTATTATTATTATTATTATTATTATTATTATTATTATTATTACTCACGAAATTGAAATAACATGATTGCAGACAAATCAGAGAACGGGTTGGACTTGAACCCACGGCCAAGAAGTCCTAAAACTTAAAGACCAGTGTGTTAACTAATTGACCAGCTGGCTCTAATAAGAGTCATCTAAGTATATTTCTATATACCACTGACGAATCCCACACCATCGTGACTGTGGTTAACGCACTGACCTGTGAGTTTTAGGACTCATACGCCGTGGGTTCAATCCCCACCATTCTGATTTATTTATTTATTTATTATTATTATTATAATTATTATTAAGTTATAAATCAGTGTTTTTGCACATTGTATTTCCATATATATTACATAATTGCTATACACTTATAAATTCAGTTGAA